ATCTCTCTGGACAGCAACTTCGACTCCGTCGACCGCCTCCCAAGAAATCTATTTGTCGGATGGCCACCTCGCCCGTGCTTGTTGCTTTGTTTGGTTTTTGTTGTTTGTTTTGTTTGGCTTGTGTTCTGAAAGGGAGAGAACCGGATTTTAACACTGTAGTTTGTTTATTGAAGTTTTGAAAGAGGTTTGTAGCGACTTCGAGTGTTTAGAAGCTTTTTGTAAGAGTTGCTTGCGTGTAGTATGCATATGTACAGTCTTTGAGCGGCTGTTACTTTTGGCTCACGTGTGTGTAAAAAAGGGCGCGAGGGAGTGCACTGCGTTAGCTTGAGTTGTTGTTGATTTGAAGAGTTTCGAGAGTGCGAGAACGAGTTTTGGAGTGTACCGGATTCATCTAGAGAGCCTGCTGTGAGCGTAAAGATGCAGGGGAAGTGTAGTTTACCACAAGGCCGTAAGGTCTGCTACCCACGTTTTTCGCGCTATGTTCCTGAGAGCGGTGCTCCAAGCATGCATCCTGGGAAGAGGAATCGAATCGATGAGTTCGTGGTCTCGTTGGACACGACCAACACCTGGCAGTGCAGCAACAGCATGCTAACCTTCAAGCTGCGCTGCTACTACCGTTACTACCACTGTTACCACCTCGATCTGGCCAATGGCGGAAGCTTCCATTCCCTTGCCGAAGACAACAGCGTGAAGGAAGAGGACCTGGATCCACTGCGACAAGCCGGTCTACGGCAGCAGTGATGGGCACCTGTCCTGAAAGCTGCTCACCTTTGATCGCATCGCTTCTTCTCAAGCAAGGCATCAAGAAGCCTGTTCGCTCAGTGGTGTTCATTCCTGCACAACTGCTGGCGCCATTCGGCCAAGGAAGAGGCTTCTTTCTTTGTGGCACCTCGCCAGATTCCATGTGTGGCCAAGTGCCTAAAGCCCGTCTGTGGCCTGAACGATGCACCGGCGGCTTGACAGTTGAGCCTTGGGAGTTTCTCAAAAAAGACAAAGGTGTTCCATTCGAAGGCCTCGCCTGCAGGCGGTCCTCACGACTCATGTTGATGATTTGGAAAGATCACTGAGGATGGAACTCTTGGACAGAGACCGGCCTTAAGATGGATCAAGCTAATTTTGTGTTGAGGCTGCGACCAGTTGATGATCCACTTAGTGCTGATGACATGCAAAGATCGCCCAATGCAGATCGGTGATCGGCGTTCTGATGTGCCATGTTCATCAGGATGGATGTGATCGCAGATACGTTTTGCAGTCGGCTGTTCCTGACGCACGAGTTCACCACCTTCCTTGAACAGGCCAACCAGTCAGTGAAAAAGTTTTGCGCTGAAGACCGCAAGGAGCTTGTTTGCGCTTTCGTTTCTTTTCTCCTGGCAGATTGCAGTGCATTCACGATGCTGCTTCTGCAACGAAAGAATGTTGCTGTGCCGAGGAAAAGTTTTAGTGCTTGTCATGCTTGCTCCAGGAGATTCTCCGCCGCCAAGATGAGCTGCGTTGCACTTCAAAAGATGCCAGCAACTTGTCAAGTTTCAGTCATCAAGAGGGGGTGAATGGTCAAAAACTAGCTCCATGGTTTCCACACGGCTGATGGAGCGTTGGATGCCTGATGTTGCGCCGAGCCTGGCTCAAGCGCAAAAACTGTTCTTCTGGACAAGCAGCAGCGCCTTGTGCTCGCCTACAAGGAGGCTCGTGTTTCTGGCCGGGTACGCTGTGTGATGGTGATTCGAAGGGCATCGATGTTGGCTGACTGCGTGACAAAGCCAATGCCGGCTCCGCAGATGATGCGGTTCTTAAGTTCAGGATTTGTGGAGGTATGGAATGAGCTGAAACACTTCATCTTGCTTCGACGGCCAGAGTTGACTGAGACCGATCTCTTCAAGAGCGATGAGCATATTCTGGTCTCCAGCTGGTCCAGGACAATTTTCAGAATCTTCTTATATCTTCTTTGGCATCATCTTCTGTTCCTACGTGTTCCTCCGAGCCGTGGAACAGGTTCATCAAGTGGCTGAACAGGCCAAAGAAGCCAAAGGTTCCATAAGAAGAAACCAGAGTCTGAGACACCTGAGAGGAAGCACAGCGCCAGCTCAGAGGTCTTAGAGCCAGAGCCAGGACCCTCACAACGATGGTTGAACTTGGATATGCCAGCTAAGGTGTTGGCAGACCATGACAGAATTTGGGTTACAGACAAAAGTGACCAGTGTTTTCATGTCAAGCCTGATTGCCTAGAATCAGGCATTCCGCTGTTTCGGCAAAACGCCGATGCAAGAATTGCAGCGCCAGCAAAGCCCAGAGCAGCAGCGGAGTTTGGAATTTTTGTACTTGAGGCAGTGACCTTTGAGCGGTCCAAAACAAGTGAGAGAGAAACAAAAAAATCAACTCATGGCACTACGTTCAGGTGGACATCTTCCATTGGAGGGACGCAACATCAACCCCATGAACTACCTGTGCTGGGTGGAGGAGAAGAAGCCTCACTTCAAGAAGGCTAAGTGACACTTGTGACACCAGTGAGCGATTGGGATCCAGAACGTTTTGATTTTCAAGACTACAAAACTGAAGAGCTACGATGATGCAGTCGAAGGTGAAGAGTTCTTTCATGTATACCGACTATACTAGAGGAGACTGGCTATGAGAGATGCTAAGTAAATTGAACCGTCAAACTGAAACGGCCCAAATGTGTACAAAAAGAACATTGCACGCGCGCTTTGCCAACATTGTGGAAAAGCTTTCTTCCTGTAGTTTTTCCATTTCCACTTTGTATCGCGATTTTGTGCATCACATGGTTCGATTTGTATGCCACGCTGCGCGTGACACGACGGGTGCGCAAACCCACGCTTTCAAGTGTAGCAGTGGGTGGAGCCGGGACACTTTGCTGGTTTGTGATGTGTCGCTGATGTGGGACGCCAAAGTGTTGATTTCTTTGTTAAAAGTGGTTGTAATCATTGGCTTTTGCCACACCAGCCACAACAGGAATTTGCAAGAACTCACTTCTCCTCTTCACTGGATACATGAGGATGCGGGACCAAGACACACAACCAATCATCTGCGGGAGTCAAGTGCATTTGTGTTCATCAAACGCATGCCAAAATGTCAATCTTCTATTGCTGGCTTTGTGTTTTTGGGCCCGTGTTTCATTGTTTTTAAACTCTAGAATTTGATTGACGCTTCCATCGCTGGGCAAAGCAAACGCGATGCACATCCTCAGCTTCTGGCAACTACCTGAAGTCTTTGTTGGCTCCTTCTTGCGGCTCAAGTGCTGTGGCCCATTAAGGAAAGAGCTCACGGCCAAAGGCAGGACCCGTTTCGATTGGCGAGATTGAACGACGTTGAATGTGTGACACCTATTCCAAGAGTTGTTCAGTGGGAAGTGACAATTTGGCAGTATGTCGGTATAGTCAAGTCAGAGTAGCTGAAACACCGGAAACCAAATAAAGACGGCTGCAACTGAAAATCAAATCAAATAAACAAATCCTCATTGCAGGAGCTCCGGGGCGAAGGCGCAGCAGCACGTTCAGCTTCTCGACTTTTTCCAACGCGGGAGTCCAGCGCACGTCAGGAATAAATCTTTTTGACGCAATCTCTGATGATTTGGACCGCTGCCATTTGGATGCAGGTCTGATGGTCTGAACAGAACAGTACGTTATAACTTATAACTACTATAAAAGATGAACATATCATTGACAGCATATGTTGATTGGAAATCCTGCGGTAGTTGGTTGGATGTCTTTATATACAGGATTTGGTGTCTCGTCGCCTCAAATCCTTGTGTGGTACAACTTTCACACAACTGCCACAGCTGTGCCAGCAAAGCGGTCGAAGTGATGGCCTCAGAAATTTGGAAAGCAGAGGGTCTAGTTGCAATCAACAAACGACGCCCAAATGGAGCAGTTTAACCTCTGTGTGCCACACTGCCATCCTAATTTGTGCTTGTGAGGAAGCCATGACGCAGTCACACATGGGAGTTCCGCTGCCCAGCGTAGTTGCCAAGAAGACATCGGAAGTTTTGCTGGGAGGTCTGTTTGTTTGTCAACAAAAATGTTCAAAAAGGTAAGATTGCTACGTGACTGTAGACCAGTGGTGGCTAGAATCCGAACTCAACCAATGCACCAGGACCGGTTGGTGTTGTGTATTGTATTTTTTTCATCTTCATTTTCTTGCCGCTGTGAACTACGCCTAGTGAACTTGGCTGCTTTATTTTTTTCATCTAAGATTCTAAGAACTCGCTGAGGCGCTTCTGCTAAGTCTGCCTGAATGCCTCCTGGGACTCTTTCAGCTCTTGGATGCGAAGGCGGGAGAGTGTTTCATCTTCAGCATCAGGCCTCATTCAAAAATGATTTGATTTGGAGGTGTAAGACTTTGCACCAAGTTTGCATATCTATACAGTCTATACATATATATAGTTATATATACTCTTTTCACCAAGGGCAGGGGAAGGGTGGACTTGGATTCCTGGTTCCTTCCTATCTCAGGGCTTGGCGCAGCTGCGACGTTCTGCACACATTGGTGCGGGGTCAAAGCCGGGAGAGGATTGATCGGACATGCATGTCACACACACACACACTCACAATATGAACTCTTACTCCTCATGGCTAGTATTTACTGAGTTCAAGTTCCGAGGCAAGCCGGTTTGCAAGCTTGTGCAAGTGCCACCTTTGGTACTAAAAAAGCTATGGACCAGCATGGCACAGTGTGGTGACACAGGGACAAGCTCACAGGGCTCAAATGACTCAACTGCCAACAATTTTGGTAAAGATTTGCAAATTGGACTTTTGCGGGACTGTGGAGGTTTCGCCATGGAATTGAGGTGGCCATGGAGCTGGGACAGCTTTGTCACACGCGGCACGAGCGGCTGGGTTGCAGCTGGCTTGTTGTGATGTGTTTGTGGCAAGTTGGGTGTCATACCCTCGCCCAAGTGAACGAGATCAGGCAAATTGTGACTTTTGTCTTACTAGGCTCTTGTCTCACTACACGCTTGTTCTAAGACCCTTTGTTTGTTTTGTGCCGCAGCCATTGATTCAATTTTCAGTTTTGGACGGACCGTGCCATTTTTGGCTCCTCTGGAGGAGGACAGTCAAATGCAAAGACTCAACAAAAACTGTTCGGGTTTTCAACCTAATAGTAATGGCCTCCAACCTACTAGCGATGGCCTCCAACCTAAGAGCGATGGCCTTCAACAAAAACTGCTCGGGTTTTCTTGATCCTTGCCCCGCCACGCATAGCCGTAGGAGTGTCATGCTTGGAGTCCCTGCGGAGCTGGGCGCCAATGCTGCCCATCAATCTTCGCCTGTAATGACTTACTCCAACGTCAATGACAATGACATGGACACTTGTTTTTTCGCCAAAGAGTGCCGAACTCTGGAGGGCCTGCTCCAGTACTGGTTTTTTCTGAATCTGTTGGCACCGAGGAAACGTTGAATCTCGAGGAGATATCAGAGCTTCCTCCAATGCTGGGGAGAGAGCACCGGCCTGTGAATCCCCCAGGATTCCACCAAGCTTCGATGACAGGTGTGACAGGTTACTGTGACAAAGACCTTTAGGCAGTAGATGGTACACCTATTGAAATCGTACATGCGAGGTGGCCCAGACCTCACCGTGGCTGCACACCCCGGACACTCCAACCGACACGCCACGGAATCTAAACGTGTCTTGGAGGAAAGGTTTGGTGCAGGCCCCACAACTTTTGGTGTATATTATATATATATATAAGTTTAGTTTGGATGATTTGTTGCTTTGGAGGTGTACACTAGCGAAGAAGTTTGGTTCGTGAGTCGTGGCTCTTCACAAAGAAAAGGCTTTTGCACAGAACCTGTTTGAGCTGAGGCAGAGAACAAACCTCATCAGCTTTTGGTGATGAAGTTTGGTGGCACATCCGTTGGAGGGGGCGAGCAATTACTACGGTGTGCTGGCATAGTGCGGAAGGCTTGGAGGACACGCATGTTGCAAACCACTTCCAAAATGGGTCTCTTTGTGACCACTTTCGATTGCTCGCGAGGCACTTCCTGACAGACCCATTGTCGTCGTGAGCGCCATGGGGAAAACGACCAATGCTCTTTTGAACGCTGCTAAAACTGCAGTGGAAACAGGAGAGGTTGACATCACCGCGATCAGGAGACCTTAATCGTATTGCCATCCTGTAAAAATTGACCACAGCATGCAATAGACATTTTTTGGCGATGAAGTTGGATTTGCCAGATTTTGTCTCCTTGCAGGAGTACGCATGAATTAGCAATGAAACATCTGGGGAAACTTGCCTTGCTGGAGCCAGTTGTTTTTGCTCGGTTTGACATGGGCCAACCTCAACTTTACTGTTTTCTAATGAACAACGATGGACCAACGAGCCGACCTTGATCTTGACTTAGGATTGACATGCCTCCTACAATGGTAGAGCTTTTAAATGAGCTGGAGCGGCTGCTGAATGGTGTAGCTCTCCTGAAGGCTTGGTCAGGGATTCCGAGAGAGACAGATTTGGGGACTGGACTTGGATAGTGCTTGAGTTTTTGGGTTCTCACATGCTCTCTCATAGACTCGTTGTAGCAAATTGCCATGGGTTCGAGCCATCTAACTTTCATGCTTTTGGCCATGGCAGGAAATCTCCACGCAGACACGTGACCGCATCGTTTCGTTCGGCGAGCGGCTGAGTGTTCGCACCTTTGCAGCAGCCTTCAATGTTGCAAAGAACAAGGAGGACTCTGATATTCTTTATGTATTTCATTGAAGTGAATGCAGTGTCGAGAGACAGGCGCGTTATTCATCAAGCCACATGGGTGGCCTGTAGGAAGCTGAAGCCCAAGCAGTTGATGCTTGGCAGATTGGCATGAGAACTACAAGTGGGTCTGGTTCAGCTGACTCCGCCTTCTCCTCAGTGGAAATCCTAGAAGAGAGCTTTAGTGAGCCTTGGCTGAATGGAGCGTTTACCAGTCTTGAGCGAAGCTGCTTTTGCTTACAACGTATACTACAATTACTACAGTCTACAATCCTAGTTCTACGGTCATGGGTTTAAGTTCTCTTTGCAAGTGAGACATGCTCCGTGAGGCCATAATGCACCACTTGGGCCCTTTGAAGCAGAACTACTCTTATGTCCCAATCGTCACTGGATATATTGCCAAGGAGTGATGACACACTGTGACTTGCAGGGTCCAACCTAAGAGCAATTTAGCAATGGCCTCCAACCTAATAGCAATGGTTCAAAAGATGATTTGCCCTGCCAACAGCCAACATTTGCAGGACAGCAAAGGAATTATCACCACACTTGGCAGGGACGGCTCTGATCTCACAGCAACGGTGATCGGAGCCGCTGTCAAAGCGTCTGAAGTTCAGATCTGGAAAGATGTCAGTGGAGTCCAGACGACCGACCCACGTGTGATCTCCAGCGCCAAACCTGCAACTCTGCAGAATGTCGTTCACATTTCAACTTTTTCAGTATTTCAACATTTTCTTTTAATGTTGTAAGCTGGAAGGGGTTAGGCAGCAGCGTAACTAGCTAGAGGCAGCAAGAAAGCTACCTGGCTCCGATGTAAAAACACTCAGATTTCTTCAAGGAAGGTCCCCCTGGCTGCGGGCCTGGGTGTAGCTTCCTTAAAGAACCCTTCACATGATTGATTTGGTTCCTAGAGTTTTTAGGGAAACGCAACTTTTGTCTCAGGTGAGAGTGCTCACTTTCGAAGAGGCTGCCGAGCTCTCAACTTTCGGGTCCAAAGTTGTGCACCCAGCCGCAGTGCTGCCAGCGTGGCAAGCAGGGGTGCCAATGAGTGTCCGCAATTCGATGGCGCCAGAAGATCCAGGCACGCAGAGCGGAATTACAGATATCAACTTTGAAAGAAGGCTTTCTCAACACTTTTTGAAAACAATGATTTGTTTAACTTTCCATTGCCATGTGTGAGGCACCCGCATTGTGCCGAAGCTCTCTAGCACTGAAACCAAAGAGCGGCGGGTCGCGGCCATCAGCAGCAAAAGCAACATCACGATGATTGTGTCTTGTCTTTTGCTTTGAGCTACTTATGACACTCTAGACTCTAGACCACTGCACGCAAGAAATACACAACATGCGGAGATCCTGGGAGGACAATGCATGGTGGCCGAGTCCAATCCAGCTGGATTGCAAATTTGGATGGCTAAGATACGAGAAAGGTTCTTGAATTCCCTGGGATTTAACATTCAACTTCTGGTACTGCATTCATCATGCTCCTTTGAGTCACTTACTCTATTTTTGTAGATATCTAGTAAATAGTGGCGTTGGAGGTGTTGGTACTTATTGGTGCCGCTGAGGTAATCAAGAGCAGCCCTTTCCTTAGTTTCCTCACACCAATCTACTTCCACCAATCTGCTTGCATGCATTTGCTCCAATCGGTATTTGATTCAAACTCCGGCCTGTCTGAAAAGGCAGAATGCTTGGCCAGCATGGTTTCTTGGCCCATGTCTTCTCGGTCTTCAACAAATATGCTGCATCCGTTGACGTGATTGCCACGTCGGAGGTGACAGTGTCCTTGACACTTGATGAAGGCCAGGGATGTCATTTTTGGCGAATTGGAATCGCACAGTGTGTATCAAGCAACGGACCAGAGGGTAAAGCGGTTTCGTAGGCGCAGTAGTGCTCAGTTGGGTTTATTGCTTATGAATGATTCTCCATGTGATGGGAATAGGCCGAGCAGAGCGGTCTTCTTGTCAACATGTTCAGGCTACAAGCATGTGGACGTCCCTGCAATCGAACGGGAGCTTCAAGAAGTGGCAAAGGCTGGCTTTTTGAGCTCAAACAAGATACTTTGTTGGACAAAGGTTCATGGACAATACAGTATCTCTGGATTGTTGGAACATCGAATTATCACCATCTCGACTGATTCTAATTATCCCAAATGGCTATTGCTTTAAACCAAGCTCTTGACGACAGATGTCTGGCGGACTGCGCAGGTATCCGTACTGCATGATGTGGCGATGCTGACTCTCATCGTCCCCAAATCCGATTCCGTGAGTGTCTTGAGAGAAGCCTTTACCGTCTTTGAGGAGCCCTTGGTCCAAAGCCAAGTCCAATTACTTTGCAACCAAGCCTTTGAGAAAAGGTCTTAGCCTTCCTAAAGAGGTCAAAAACTGTGCTTCCCAACAATCTTTTTGGTTGAACTTTACACATTGCAATGCCCCGTCAAGGAGCTGAAGATACAGGCAGCTCGAAAGCTTCCAGTAGCTGCACTGCTGCTCACTCCAGTTTGTGTTCCGCAAGCTGCTTACTTGTGGTTACAATGTGAGCGCTGTAGTAGCTTAGTGTCTTCAACTGGAAACGTTTGAACACCTTCGGTCGAAAGCAACGTTGGAAAGAGTTTGGAGGTTGAGATGGTCTCCCACGGCGCTTCCAATGTGAACGTCACCTTTGTCCTCCCTGGAGATCAACTGCTGACGGCCTCGAAGAAGCTTCACGATGTGTTCTTCGGGCCCTGACCGGAGAAAAGGAGCTTTGATGGGGGCTGCGAGAATGCGTTCCAGCACTTTGTGGACGGCTGTTCTTTATTTCTTGGTTGGGTGAGTCCTGTCATGTGTCATGTGTCAAAATATTCATTTGAGTCTTTCCTCACCCAAGGTGGCTGAGCTGCGGGCAAAGGTGCTGGAACTCTTGGGTCAAACCAAGTCAGGAACTCAAGACCCCATGCAAAGGCATACATGCAGACATTTGAGATACTGTAGATCAGATCCAGACTGCCATGCTTTTCGGAAAGCCGCCATACTTTTCGGAAAGCCGGGCAAAGCCGGGCAAAGCCCAGAACTCCATTCTCATGCTCGGCTCATAAGGTTTCCCTTTGTTCATGCCGCCTTTGTGCTCGGTCTCAATGGGTCCTGGGCCCCGGTGTGCCTTGGGAGCACTGCATTGAAGCCATACTCGGTTGCCACCTTAGGTCTCACTACAGCTTGGACACCACGGCAGAAAGGCCTCCATCATTTGATCGGTTCAATAGCACGTGCTAGTCGTACGAGCTTTGTGGCGGTATCATGTGAGCATTACTGTTTTACTTCCTACACGACAGTGGCAGAAGGTGCCATGGTGATAGAGATTTTTTTGAGCAAAAGTGAACAGCCAGAGGCATTATGGTATTCCAGTACGATTGCCAAGGCTTGGGTTGGACAGTTTCGCTCTTCAGAATGAATACAGTCGTGCCACAAAGAAGCTCGCGTGGACAAAACTTTTTTTCGAGCACTCTAGTGACTCTAGTGCAATTTGTCCCTCTTCAAGACTTGCTTAAGATTGTCGATTGAAAAGGTTGCTTTACTTTCTGTTATTGTGGGGATCCGACTAACATTCAAAGCTATATATACCTATTGTGAATCAAGTTCCAAGATCCCACAGTCTTGAACATCAAATTGACATTGGCAAATATTGTGGGCTTCTAGGCTGACCCCAAAGAGGTTGGAGGGTCAGGAAAAGAAAGAATGGCACCGCCAATCAAAACTGGAATGAATGCTTTGATCGGACTTCTACCAGGGTCAGGTCAAGAACAGGTCACAAAGAGCACCAGGATCAAACAGCATGTTCAGAGAATTCATCACCCTGCCGGAACATGTTGATGTTGGAACGCATTTTGGACGATGTTTGCTTGCTGACCAATTGATCTGTCGATTGAGAAAAGGGAGAGAGACCTGGGGAAGGATAAATAGGAAGGTGGACGATAAGAAAGATTGAGACTGGCGCGTGGCACAACGTTCCATGTATTCCTGACTTTACATACATGCAGCGTATTGGCGCAGTGTGACTGTGTTTGACTGCAGTGGCTTTGTACTCCATTTCTTGTATTGTATGATATCATATCGTACTGTTGCCCCCACATTGCACCATCTTGGACAACTCATTGAGTTTGGTACCATTGAAGGCTGCTGTGCGACCTCTTCCAGCTCGAGGTCCCCCATACCGTGGTGGCCCCAGGCAAAGCTGAACTCCTGCTTGTAAAGGTCTCACGAGGTCTTGTTGTTTCAGATCTCTTTGAGAAGCTAGCTAAATACCTGTTTATGAAGGACATTGAGATGTCCTGCTTGCAGTGCTGCTAGCTGCTGCGGCCAGCCCTGGGCAACTGAGGACTTTACCTCTGTTCGCATTCAAAAGTTTGCCTCTGCAGCAATCTGGCTGCAATCACGGCCTTTTGAGCCCCTGCACTTTTTGATATACTGTATATAACTTTGCCTTGGCCTGGCTTTAGCAAGGGTTGTTTTCTTTAGAGTATGATGTGCTTTACTTGAGGCTAATTTTGGCGGCTCGCACCGGACCCTTCCTGTGAACCTGCACACGCCATTCTATCCTGATGAGGTGCCAAATGGAAAAGTGGAGGAACACTTAAGTGGGCACAGGACGGCTCTTAAATGTCAAGCTTCAGGACGGCTCTTCAAGCCCCAGCCCAGAGCGCATGGACTGCGAGAGTGGAGGATTGGCCAAAGATTGTGAACCTCTTCAACGATATTGCACCGGTTTAAGCATTTAGTTTGCCCAAGGAATTGTACACACATGTCACAGTAGCTTTGAAGCATCCAAAGTCAAGCAGATCCATTGAAGCAGCGAACGGGTTGGATGAACCTGCCTATCCAAACACATCGCTTCATGCCCGCATTGAAAGTTAAAGCACCTTTCAGGAGTGCCTGCCTTTGCATTGTGTGCGAGACCTAGTGATGGCTTGCTCAAGTTCTGTGGATGAAAGTCCACTTCGAGGCCTGTCCGAAGGATGCAAAGGCGGACATGGTGAACTTCTTGAACATCGGAGTGAGGCACTGCATGTTTCGGGTGCCCAAAAGAACACGTTAGCTCTCACGCCTTGAAGTAGCATTTTCGTTCGCATTTAGTACAGTACCTTATGGTAGCTTACAGTACCTTACTAGCATTTAACATTTAGCCCTTGGATGCTTTGTCAATCTACCCTTGCTGCTTGCCTCCATGCACCGAACTCCCACCACTGGAGGTGCGACGCTGGCACGGCTTTGTGAATCCGCAAGCTGGGTGTGAGCCCGAGGTGACGTATTTCTGATATGTTCTTCATCGAAGTTTCGCTTTGTCAAGGCCAAGTGCATCTCGCTGGATGCAATTTCCCATGGACGGGCTGGAACATGCCAAGATGGGTACTCTACAGACATTCGAAGTGCGGTTTCGTGTTTGTGGGACCCAGCATACCTTTTCAACTCCACAACCCGTGAGGACACGTGGCTCCGATGGTATTGGCCAACGAAGGGTGACTACTTTGTTGTGAGCTCAGTAGAGTCAGTAGACAGGAGGGCAAGATGTAAGTCCATTGGTTGCAGGATATTAGTGTGGTTCAGGTGGTGACTGTGACCTGCGAACCTGCCGAGTTTCTGCGTGGCCGTGGCTGCAAGAAAGACTGATTTGGAGGAGAAAGGAACAAAGAGTTGCTTGCTTGATTGCCATCTATGAGCAGAATTTGACATTTCCCCAAGCCTGTGCCATTGTGCACGGCGATTGACGGCGCAACAATGGTTACTTGTTAGACAATCCAAGTCCAAATGCCCGATGGCTCCGCACAGACAGCATTTGGGGCTGATCTAAGGTGGCTTGCAGATGCGACAGCGGCAGCAGATTCTTGGCGACGGCATCAGAGTTGTCTTTTTTCGATGGCCTCCACCCTAGTAAGTAGCGATGGCCTCCAACCTAGTTTTGTCCGCCAAGCTCAATTTCTCTTTCACGGAGGATGCTGAAGCTTGGTTTTCGGCTTCCAGCACCGTGGAACAGCATCACGAAGCTCTCCCAGGCAACAAACACGGGAGGGCCCCAGAAGGGCCACGGCTGCCTCATGGTCAAGCTTTTCATCTCCAATCATTTTTTGAGGACCATGAAGATGACCATACGACGTTCACGAAGGGAGATGCTGGAAAGGGCCGAGAAGGTGTGACCTTCAGCTGCGTTACATTCAAGCCCGGGTCTGCGGTTTGAGAACGCACAGGACGTGACCGAAGCCCCCGACGAATGAGCTCTGCTCGTGTGATGGCTGCAAAGAGGCGCTCTCACTTAGGAAGAGTGGCCCAGTGGCAGTATTCTTTCGCTTTTTTTTAGAGTTTTGCTGTGCAAGGCTTTTGGGCCTCACAAATGTTATCTTGCCGGCAGTTCAGGCGAGGTGTGGATGAAACAAGGAACCTGCTGCTCCGGTGTTTTGCAAAGCTAAGGTTGAGACAAAACCAACCCGTTGACCCATGGATTTTTCAGGAGTTCTGTGAAACGGGTTTCGCGCCAGGAAGTGAACGAAGCTTTTGCATCTGCGCAACGTCAAGCCAACACTGATGTTTGAAACCCAGGAACAATATCGATCAGGTGTCCGCGTTGGATGCCACTGGTGCGTCCCGCTTTTGCACGTCCGAGTCTAGGGTTGGACTCATTCCTGATTGGTTTGTGCCTTTGAGGTCTTTGGAGGGAATTACAGCTCAGAGGTCGGGACCAACTGGGGACTCCCGGAGTGAAAAGAATTTGTACGTGCTGAGAACATGTGTAAAGCATGTAGTGTTTCTTGAATACATTTCAGCTCAAGTGTTGGGTGGCCCTAGAGTGCCTGGAAAATATGCACCCTTTTGGCTTTTGGGCAACCCTAACTTAGTTCCTAGGGTATTTGCCAGATCAGATTCTACCTCGCCGGATCAGCGTCAGCGATCAGCGTCCAGGATCAGATTCGACATCGCGGGATCAGCGTCCAGTATTACATTCTTAGGGTTCAGGGTTTAGATTCCGATCTGACCAAGTGGATTCCGATCCAGCTGGATTCCGATCCCACGATTCCGATTCGACCAACACCTTGCAGTGGCCACCCAGATGGATCTCTCCGCACAGGCGCCCTTGGCAGTGGGGGCTCCGGTGGAGACATCGGACAACCAGGGGAACACATTCACCATGTTCAACCACTCAACGCATCAGATGCCAGCAGCCGCTACGGTGCCTCCACCAAGGTGGATGGAGAATACATGGGCAGATGAGGCCACATTTCCATCCCCCTGTGGCTTCAACCCACATTTTCCCTCGGGCAAGATGGCTGCGGCGTTGCCTGCCTTGTGCAGCCTGTTGCACTGCGGAGTGACCATGACCTTGCTTTCTTTTCTCCACTTCCCCTGCTTTTGGTCCACACCGGGTGGGTGGACCTTTTTCCTGGTCTTGGCTTTCACCCGGTCCCATGCTTTGAGCCCAGACTGCTTCGAATTCCCAGAGAAAAGACTAACCACCTGTGACGTTGCCTGTATTCTTTCAACGTTTCCTTGGAGAGCTGTGTTGTAGGTTCGATGGCAGTTGGCCAAGACATGCCAGGACAACTCTACTGGTGGCTTCGGATGGGATATGGTGTCGAGCTCAGGACACGACTGGGATGAGATGCCACAGAAAGTAAAAGACTGCCGCTCTCCCAAGTGACGCCTTTCGCAACTCTCCTGCTGAAACTCATGCAAGTGCTGCCTTCTAGATTCTAGCAACTCTTCCTGACAAAGGCACAGCTTGCATGGGCTCGTCGGGTGCTACTTGAGGCACCTCCAGTGGGATGTTTCGGGGCATTGCAGCCACAGGGGTATCAGCAGTGGAGTGGTAGTAGCCAAAACACATTAGCGGGGGATTTGTGGAACGATCTGTTGAGATGGCATTTGGAACTTGTTTCAAGATATTTTCGTATGACTTTGGTTTTTGCTGCGCATATGGAACTTTCAGCACATTCCAGATCATTCGATCATTTCCTGTCAAGGCCCATCAAGTGGCCCAAGAAGCTGTTGCTGATGGTGTGCTGCCACAATGGATGCAAGAGGACAGTCCAGACTCCCAGACAAACAGGCCTTGTTTCACCCTTCTCCTTCTTCAAATGATGAGTTTAGTGGCGTCGTCATGCGATCTCAGAGTTGGTCGAGTCCGGGCTCCAGGAGCCGATTCCCGGGGTTCCAGCCCCACAAGCTGCAGCCTTGCCTTTGCCTGCACCGTGAGTCACCTGTCGTGTACCTGTCGTGTTGACATTGGTGAGCTTTGGAGAAGCAACACTTGCTTTGCCGCCCGGATAGCAAGCTGTACTAGGGGATCGGACAAAAACATAATCAGACGAGTCAGTGGAAAACCCTCTCAGAAAAATTCATACTATCATCAATGGTATCCAAGGGCGTGCTACGATTCTTTTTTTTGACGCAATCTACGTCAATGTATGAACCCAATCTTCCGCTTCTGTGGCCGAAGCAGCTTGTTCCCCGCGCACACTGCTGTCCCCCGAAATTGCAGCCACATGTTGTTAGTTTGCCGTAAGCTGGAGTAAAAGGAAGGTGCTTTGTGCCGTAGGAATAATTTGGGTCCTCGTAAGGGCCGTGCAAGTCGGGTTGATGATCGAGTACAGTTTGGAAGACATGGAAGGCCCTGCCTTTTGCACGGCCTCCCGGTTGCCACAGCCCAGATACCAGAGACATCGATAGATATTGTGAATATCACAACAGATGCTGTTTCCGCATGGATCTGGGCACTCGAATGAAACTGCCTGCTGCTCCGTGAAGTCATGTCAAGCTTGCCAGCCTTGGGAACAGCGAAAGTGAAAGCTGTCATTTTTGATGTGAAAAAGTGCTTCTTTTGGTCGATTGTCTTGAATCAAGTAAGCACATTGGAATACAAAGTAAAATAAGTTTTGTTGGCCCTTGACTTCTTGTGGTTTGACCTCTTTGTGGAAGTGCAGTGATTCTGAGTTTCGTTGACGCACTCCCCGCCAGACATCAGCGCAAGCGCTAGGGAGTCCGATTTTGATGCCCCATTCGCTGCTTTGAATGACCATGAGCAGTGATTGAATCAATTGATTGATTAATAACTGTCGGATGGTGTGAGAGGCAAAGAGTTGCTAAGAACAGGCAGTGACAGGTATATAGAAATAACGATACAGATCAAGTCGACGCACTGACTGCAGACCTTGTTTGCATACCATCTGGAACATTGAGCTTGAATTTTGGATGTGCAGTTGATTGTAGGCTGAGGCCAAGCTGATTGTGCTGAACATTGAAAGAACTTGCAGATAGAGAAGGAGTTTGACGTACTAAGATCTACTGTATGTGTATATATAAATATATATATATATATGTATATTTTTTACACATAACTTATATAAGTATATATATATATATATTCAACCAGCTTCGCTTCAGCCACGTTCCTCCAGCTTCGCGTGAGCCATCTACCGCTGGTGAAACAAACCAAAGACGCTGCAGGATCCGTGTAGCGAGGAGCCGTGCTGTCGAACGGATCATCTGCACCGCAAGTTCCCTCCACTTTGAAGAGGAACCGCGTACTGTCGAGGGCCTCGTTCGCATAGATGTGGCCCTCCAGTGCCAGAAAGGAACCCGGTGGACAATGCTGCTATTGGGACAGCTCTGGCAGAAAATGGGCAGTGCTTCACTGGTCTTCTCTATGTTTCTCAAACCAAACTTCAATGAATTCAGAAATGATCCGCAGATTTGTGCAACGTTGCTCGGATCACGATCCCTTCGGTGCAGGGCACGAACTGGGGCACTAGAGCATTTGGCTTCCCCGACGTTTTCGGGGCAGGTCTTGGTCTGGACCTGAGAGATCTCAAAGTAATCTTATTTAATTTCATTTACGCCGTTTGCTTTCAGGAAGATGGAGGTATGTCTTGTGAACGCTGAGAACGTTCCAGATGGGCCTCCAGCTTAAGCTCCAATAGTTCGTGACAGCCAAACACTTTCGAAGTGTTGGAAGGCCCAATGTCCAAATCTGAAGAACTGAATCGACTCCTCAGATGCCTCCTCTCCATCAGTGCTGGCGGTTCGCGGCGCCAGGTGAACAAAGGGAAAAGAGCATGTTTCATCAGTTACTAGCGATGGCCTCCAGCCTAGAAGCGATGGCCTCCAACCTTAAGTTTCCCTAAAAATCATTACTGCGAGCTATCCTGCGTCATCCTGCGTCCAGTTACTAGTAGCTTACTTGCAGCTAGTAGCTATCTCAGTTCCTACTCTAGCTACCCCTAGCTACCCCTAGCCCCTCTCTAGCGGCCTACCCCCCCCCCCGGCAAAAAATGAGAACCTGTCTGATCGCAGGCGCCGCTGGCTGTCCGCCAAAAATTTGCCTTCAGCAATTCTTCCACGGCAGCTGCAGTCGCTGCGGGTGGCAGCGGCCTGAAGGCCGAAACACGATCGCTTGTAGTGAGGCGATCGCGTGCTGAGACGGCAAAGTGACGCAAGGCTTTTCAACTGTCCTTTGAACCTCTCCGCAGGTTGACCTCCTGTCATTGAGGGGCAGTGCATGCCACAGCCTAAGTGGAAAGAATTAAGGAAGACAGGGACCCCACCCACCCTCACCCATTCTCCGGAAGATTGGATGGTAAGTTTGCACACGTTTCCTTTGTGATCAGTGATTGTCTACCGAGCCTTTGAAGCCATTTCTGCTGAGGCGTTGGTAGCTCGGAGCTGCTGCCGGCGATGCAAAAGGCAAGACAGTGGGGTTGAGACTCGAGAGAGAAATCAAGATAAAGAAGAATGATCAGAAGACCTGGATGGATATTTGTCTCGAGTTTTTGAAGTCCTGAACTCTCAAACTGCTTGGAGATGCACCTGTTGCAAGGCTTTTGGTGCGGGAACAAATGCCGAAGGTATGGGCCCTGCTACTTCCGACCTTTAAAGAACACAAATAAGAGTGTTGTGTGCCGCACAGTCCCTGTTCTATAAGGCGCTGGGCATCAAATTGAGGCCTGCAGCTGTTTGATGTTTCTGTCCCTACTGCACTATTGTTCGCAGAAGGTTCGAGCGTGACATTGAAGCGAAATCAAGCTGCACTGCAAGACCATAGTGCCTTTGCTTGGAAATCGCACCATTTCCCCTACTTCAAATCAAGCTTTTTGTGTTTTCAGGGATTGGCAAGAGCTGCCGTATGCATGGCTCAAGCGATGGGCTCCAACTTGCACTAGGTTTACCTTTATAATTGGTTGCCAAGTTGTTTGAAAAGACGTAGGGTCAACCAAAAGACGCCAAAAGCAAATGAACAGCACCCGCCACGCTTCACAAATTTGCAGACATTACCTCCAAATCTTCGAACATTTTTCTTCAACGCGCTTGCGTGCCCAGCCAAAGGCTGGGCTTGCCAGATCCATGGCGCCAATCAGATGCGCAATTGCAACTCAAGGCACGAGAGGAGATTTTCAGCCTGTCCTCTCTCTTGGCATTGGCTTGAAGCGTGCTGGACATGTAGTGAAGTTCTTTGCCAACCCCGGCCATTGTAAGATGGCAAATGAGTTTGGGTTGGAGAGTGTTGCTTGCTGCATCGAAGTGAAGGACGTTTTGTCCACAGAGCGTGGCATGAGGGCCATGGAGAAAGGCGACCTTTTGATGGTCTTTGCAGCTGGAGATTTTGATGATGACCTGGATTTGCAAACTGACTGGAGTGGGATTTTCCAAAATGAGATGGAGGAGTTCAAGCCGGACGTTTTGATTTGGACGGGCCTCATGGGAGGCGAGGTTAGCAAGCTTCGAGAAAAGACCAATATGATGATTCCAGAGATCATTGCATCCTACCAGCCACATTCAGTTCCAACGAACCATATCACACCGGTCAACATGCAACGCTTAGAGCTTGAGCCCGGACAACCACTTCTATACACGTGGGTCCTGGAAATGCAAACCGATGCTGGAGGTAATTTTTACCGTGTCCAAGAAGCAATGAAGGAGGGTGTAGAGGTGGGTGTTTTCAACACTCCACAAGCATCCTACGAGATTATGTTTAACATCGAGGAGCATCCAACACCAAGGATTCTAGCTTACAGCCCTGGCTGGTGGGCGCCCTATGATGATTGGCCCAAGACCTCCAACATCCTCGTTCCAGGCAATTGGAAGATTCCAAAAGAGCAGCAAGAGGAAGCTGCAAAGAAAGGCTCTGCACTCTTCAACGCTGGAGACCAGCACACGGCCACAACTGACTTTATCCTAGCTGGTGAGAAGCCGGTGTACATTGGCTGGGGTTCTATGATGGTTTTTTCCAAGGAGCACATGGCACGCTTGGCAGTGGGAGCTTTGAAAGAAGCGGGCAAGCGTGGTATCATTGTTGGAGGCTGGGCAGAGCTATCTGAATCGTCTTTGGGCGGTGACGAAGCTCAAGACTTGAAGGACTACAGCCAAAGCAATGTACTTTTTCTCAAGTCTGCACCCCATGAGTGGCTCTTCCCACAATGCGCCTGCTGTGTGCATCACGGTGGCATTGGAACCACTCAGGCGTCCTTAAGCGCAGGTGTGCCAACCATTGTTACACCTGTTTTTGCCGATCAAAAAGACATTGCCCGGAAGCTGTCAAAGGACCAGCATGGCGAGGGTACTGTGCACTTGTCTCAATTGACAGCGAAAGAGCTTGGAGCCAAGATTCGGAAATGCTGCGAGGACCCGACCATCATACAGAATTGCAAGACGATCGCTGAAGTCATGGCGAAGGAGGACGGCATCAAAAGTACCGTGGACTTTATAGAGAATTTCAAAAAAGAGGTGGACGCAGGAATCTGGAAGAAGAAAAGAGATGCTTTGGAAGAAAGGCTCAAAGCAGCTCACAACAAATTCAAGCACTTGAAAGATTTTGGGCAAATCTTCGGCAAGTGGAACATGGATCTTTCGGAGAAGTATCCACCCATGAAGCAGTACATGGCAGACCAGATTAACAAACACGGGAGAATGGTGGAGATTTTTATGAAGAAGAAGTTGTGGTTTGTGAAATCTGCTGGCGGATGCTTGGCTCGTACAGGCGAGGCACTCAAGTCAGAAGAGTCTGGCCGCTACAAGGAGTTTGCGATGCTTGAGGAGGTTGGAGCCAGCAAGAACGGAAGCAGAATCCACGTGAAACGAGTGAAAGGGATTGGACCAGATGAGGGCTGGGTTTCACCAGTGGTGTCTGGAAAAGACATCGTTGTAAAGGTTGCCTCGCAAGCCGAAATTGGAAAGATCCAGATGGATGCGATTGCCAAGCAGTTCTCCGATATCTTGGGAGAGAACGGGAGACCGGAGCGAAGTCAATCCGGAGCGAAGTAGTTCCCTGCCCCAAGAGCCTGCGGAAAGCATAAACAAATGAGAGAATCTGACAATTCATGACCATTGGAGTGATCATTCTTTCGCAATGACTTCATTGCATTCAAACAATGGCAACGCCACAGCTGCCACAGGTCATTCTTCCACAAGGCCAAGATGGCGGAGAGGAGGCCGCGGGTTGACACTCACGAGGGTGAAGACGCTGAGGGAGAGAAGAGATGTTTGGTGCAACATGTGTCAACAGATGACATTGATGATCATTTATCTTAAACTGTAGCTGCAGCTCTTTGAAGCAAATTTTCACTTGTTTCAATCTTTCAAACATGAGGGGAAAGCAACTGCGGTTCTTGTGTCAGTTGCAGGAACTCAGCATGAAGTTGAATTTCAACATCAAGCCAGGACCTCACAGCTTGCTGAGGGCAGCTTGATTGGCTGGCTGATAGTTTTGGCGTTCTGGAAGCTTCAAGAACAGATTGATTTACATATCCAGTCTTTCGCTCTTTCAAGAAATGCTTGAGGCCTTCAATGAAGAAGGAGGACAAGGACCTGATTGACACCTCCCGTGTAGATTCAGGTTGGGATGCGTGACCAGTGAGGTCTTGACTCCACAGAGTTCCATAGAGAAACGTGAGTCGAGCTGGCCACGACATCAAGAGTTTTTCGTGCCAAGCCAAGCACACATTATCGTATTGATCTTTCTTTGACGAGGAATGGACATGTCCCATACACACACGAAAAGTCTTCACGCAGGTTCTTGTTGCTTGTCCAGGCATGTCAACAGCTCGAACCAACGAGCCAGAGGCCTTGCGTACTTGTTCACCTCATGCTTTGAAGACCTCTTCTGGAAGAACAAGCCCAAGCTACTTTACCATGCTTGCCTTGAGCACGATGAACGCATCTAAATGCATCCACAAAAGCACCTCTAACCTGGAGCTGCTGGATTTATGCCTGCGGCAGGTTCCAAGTGCAATCCTGCAAACCACGGATTTGCTGAAGCAATCCGCACTGCTGGACCGGGTGTGCCCATCATGGAGTGCTTTCCATCAGTCTCTCCTCTAGCTTTGGTTTTAAGTGCGAAATTGCAAGGCAAATAGATACGATAATGTTCCTATTCGTGCTGAAGTTAGTAGAAGCACTTGAACATGACGGGATTTCCAGTTGGTAGTGTTTCCCCGTCTAAAGAACCATAGACCACAACGACAATGGCCACAGGATCGCACTGCAACGTTGCCCGCAGCGCCAAAGGCACAGAGCGGTGCCGGACCTCAGGGGCAGCTGGCATCATTCATTTCTTGTTTTAGAAGGAAGCACACGATGATACGATACATCTCTCTCTCTCTCTATATGTATACATATGTGTTCATCATGCACATTTCGGCAGTAAAGAGGTAGGGGATGATTGCAGACCAGATTCTCCATCATTTGCTGACTCTTCATTCGGCAGGTGGCTTCAATGTACAAATGAGTTTTAGACACGGCTTGACATTCTAATCAATCAACATCACGGAGCTCAAAACCTGAGGCCAGTCATCCTTTGTTTTCATGATTGGCAAAGCTGTTCTGAGAGTCGCACAGTTGAAGGATGGTCAGGTTGCTGTGTCATGGACCATTTTGTAAGGTCAACGTTCCTCAAGGCGGCATCATGCTGCCTTGCAGGCCAGAGCTAGAAGGGGATCGCTTTCAGTTGTAAAAGAGTGTGGGCCCGAACAATCAACCTTTCTTGCTGTTTATTTTTGGTGCTGGGGTGGGACTGGGGCCGGGGAGTTTGGCGTAGACATATGGCAGGTCGTCTGATCGAAGGATGATTTTTTCATGGCTTGTACAAAGGACAAGAAACATGCGATCACTACCCTCCAAGTAGGATGATTTCACTATCATCAGGAGCATGAGACCCTGAGCCGACAATAGCACTTTTGCAGATTTGGTTTTGCTAATCATGGCCACATTCATTGAGCCACGCAGCTACTCTTAGTCTTACTCAGTAAACCTTTCAGATATTAGCCTTTCTGGGTTCGTTCAAGCCCCATGTGCGGCCGGCATGGCCCCGCGGCCATCACGGCCTGCTGGTGAGCAGTCACTGCCCGCATCCGTGACAAGCTTGTTGCAGCATGTCCAGGAGCAGGCAGGAATTGTCAGTCTTTACTTGGACCGTGCTTCACAAATGAGCGACCCTGCAGCTGCCAGCCCAAAATATTGGTGATGGGTTTAACGACTTGGACAGGCATTGCATACCGAAAGTGAGAAGTTGGCATCGCGCTTGATTCGTTTGCTGCACCTTTACTGCATGTTGCATGCCAGCTTTGAGTGACATATTCTGGAAACCCACGAGTCGTACCTTTAGTTTTGGTTGGACACCACCAGCCAACTGGACCTCACTGCTTGGCTCACCCTATCCTCTGCCAAGGCACTGTGTTTCCCCGCGGATCACCGATGGAGACTCACCCAAAGTGCTGGAGATTGATCTCAATGTGATGAGATCTCTTTGTGCAGACGGCATTCCGGATGAGGCAGAGTTGTAGCAGCTATAGTTAAGTTTCCCTGAACATCTAGGAAACAAATCAATATTAGTGCGAGTGCTTCTTCAAGGAAGCTCCCCCCGCCGCCTTGAGGGCGGCGGGGGGAGCTTCCTGGAAGAAGCGTGAGGGATCCTGCGTCGATACTAGTAGCTACTTAGGCTACTATTTACCCCTCTACTAGCAGCCTAAACCCCTCGGTCTTAAAAGAAAGACAACCATCCCGATGTTCTGTGAGTGCTAGGCTCCTGCACTACGGGCTGCACTGTGGAAGCTTCTTTTGGGCTTTCTGTCACCTGTCCACTTGCCAAAGTACCATTGATCTCCAGATCTGGAGATTTTTGTCCAAGATCGGAGCCTTTACGATCTTATTGGCCTAAAGGGATGAAGACTTGCCGAAGGTCGTTGTGTTCAGACTGAGGCCATGCGACGCCTTTCGCTGGGATGACACACTGGCGAGTTCTCGTGCTGATTACCAGACCTTCCTCCAGGAAAGCGCATCCAAAGTTGTGTTTTCACTTACCAAAAGAGTTGTGCAAGCGAAACGCCCATAGACTTAGTAGATGTGTCATGTCATGTCATGTCTAACTCCGAAGGAATTGCTATCGGAGCTGCCGGCCGACCTTGCTCAAGCTGGGAATCAGGCGAAGAGTGTCGCTAAGCAAATCTTTAAAGTTATACTGTAAGTGTCAACCAAAGTGTCGGTGTCAACCAAAGTCTTTCGAGGCACAGCAAAGGCCTGGAACTTGGCCCTCGGATATTGTTGAAGATCACGTGGTGCCCTTGGCTGAGGCAGAACCACGCGACAGCTGCGTAAGGGTAAGGTTTAATTGAAATTAGAATGCAGCCCTTCAGTGGGGTTGTTACAGTTGTTAGGTTCCGACATTTTTGATTTCGCAGACATCTTTGCGCGCTCTGCGAACAAAGCTTGCGCATACTGTCTTTTTTTGTCGCCTTTGGCAGGTGCTTGAGCAGATCAGGAAGGATGTCCTGCGAACAAGGCAAATCGGTAGTTTGACACCCAAGCTATCCTGAGCTGAGAAAACATTACATCTGCATGAAAGGCCTGAGATGGACTTCTTTTGCCGCACCCTAGCAGCTGCATCTGAATCTTTGAAGTTGGAGGAGCCAATAGTAGCTAGAAGCTACTAGGTGGAGGCCATCGCTATTAAGTTGGAGGCCATTACTATATACAAGTAAGCTCCTAGTAGCTCCTGGCATCGCTACTAGGAACGCGGGCATCGCTACTAGTAACAAGGACGCTACTAGTCTCGACAAGTCGAGTCCAGGAGGGTGAAGACCGCAGCTTCAACGCCTGGGAGGTCACGGAGGCCGTGACCAGTCGAGATCCCGAATGCATCGACGTGGTGAATCCCAAGAGCCACTATGACGTGCTGGCACGGATCTTGCTTCTCTATGCGAAGCTCAATCGTGGTGTCCGCTATGTGCAGGGCATGAATGAGCTTTTGGCACCCTTGTACTATTTGTTTGCACAGGATCCACTGAATGGATTGCATGCAGAGGATCCTTGGATATGTGATCATATATTTTATGTAATTTATATACAAATACATTCTTTCGTTTTGATGGTCGGGCACTCTTAAAAGCTCGAGCAAGGAAGAAAAACGAAGCAAAGCTGAGGCGGATACGTTCTTCTGCTTCAGCCTTCTGATGTCTGACATGCGCGATGCCTTCGTAAAGACGATGGACAACGAGGAAGGTGGCATGATGGGCCGAATTGATAAGTTCAGCACGCTGCTGAAGGAAAAGGATGAGGAGGCACAACTCGCGAGCTTGAACTGTTGCCTTTGACATCAACCTTGGCACAAATCTAAACACTGATTTTGTTTTTATTTGAACACCCTGGGCAAGGGCATAGCGTAGTTTTACTTGACTTATATATAATTGGGTGCCATGCACTTGGGCGTGATTTGCCATGGGTTGGACTCAGACAGGGAATGAAGCTACCATGTGAAAAGCCTAAAGGTTATAACCACCATGAAATACCTACCTGTGGAAGCTACGTTGTGAGCCCGGGGCAAATTTGCATCCCCTCCTGCGGTTGTGGCCAGGGGCATGGGCCATCCAGAATAGGTTGTTGGAATGGTGGGATCAGAGCTTGCGCCCAACACACGCGTCTTATGATACTGTTAGAGGGCAACTGAGCGGATAGTGGCTGATGTTGGATGCCCTATGTCCAGGTCTGGAAGCACTTAGAGGAACTAAATGTGGTTCCGGTGTACTACACAGTCCCGTGGCTTGCTCAGTGGCGCCTGTACGGGCCTGCCCTTTGCCTAGCCGATTTGCGGCATCCACTGAGGTGGCTGACCCTGATGCTCACTCAGGATCTCGGCTTCGTTTCTTCGCTGTGGGCCGACAAGAGACGAGTTTCTGTTTTTTTGGCCTGCTTGAAACGAAAATATCCATGGCAATCATATGAACTGAGGAAGCACATAGAAAAGATCAGTGCCTTCATGTGCCCCAGGAGCTTGACATGGCAGATGTGCTCCGCTTGTGGGACTCCCTGTTGAGCCAGAGTCTCAGAGTGTCCAAGCTCATTTCTGAGTTGCGTTGCACTGAAACACAGCCAGCTTGCTTGCACTTGTGCTTAAAAGCTGGCAATCTTGTGAGAGAGCCTATTCTGCAAGTGGTTTGATCTTTCAAAACAGAGCAGCTGCACGCTGCTGGAGCTGATGAAAGTTGGCAGGTGACCTTGCCAGACCACATCCTCTTCTTTGTGCAAGACTCAGAGTCTCAAGAGATTATTGGTTTGCAAAGAAAGCCTTGAGGTTATTTGTGCGTGGCCATGGTGATTGGTATCAGAGAGGCCACTGATGCATTCAAGAGTGCATAGCACAGTTTTGTTGATTGGATTTGATTGGGAGGATTTGCATCAATCTCTCCATATGTTTCCTGGTGCTCGCTGCTTTGAAAGCTGTTTCCGACAACGGATGTTTTTTTTTGGCAGGTGCTATTGGCAGGAGACTTCACAGACTGCATGCGGATGTTGCAGTCCACCCCTCTGAAAGCGGCAGTACAAATCCAGGATCCAACCTTCTCAGTTTTTCTGGAGTTGGCACTGAATATACCATCTCAGCATCTTACAGCAACTGGTGTTTGAACATGAGCTGCTGGCATTCATAAGGCACTATCCTCCAGTTCCCGTGGATGATCTCCTGCAAAGCGCACTCAGGTGTGGAAGCGCCGGAAGCGCACTAATTCACACGATATCATCTTCGATCCATATCAACCAAGCGGAACTCGATATGCCAAGAGAAGCCATGCAGGTATGTATCCATCGTTTTTGTACATCTTAGTGCTTCCTTTCATGGAAGACGACAAATCACACGGAGAAACAGTACAGTATCTTGGAAAGCTGCAAGTGGATGGTCAGCTGTCAGGCTTCGGGCAGCTGACCGCACGCAGGATGCTCAGGTCTGAAACATTTCCTTCTACATTGGCCCATGAAGCTGGAAAAGGTCTGCTTTGTGCCACTACGGGCATGTATATGTTTCTTGCGACCGCATTTCCCTGAGGGGAGTGGGCTTTTCTTCGAATGACCTAGAGGCCTGTCATGAACAGACATCACTACAGCGACACGGTACTGTTTGTCAGGCCGCTGATGGAGGTGTTGAAGCGGCTGCTGCCATGTCAAAAAGGAGACCTTAGTGAAGCGTGCTTACAAAAGAAACAAAGAAGACAAAGCGCCTCTTTAAAATACCCTTGGCATCCCTTGGCCTCTATCTTCGCTCTTTCTCCTTTTTCAATTGTTAAGACAGCAATTCAGCTGCTCCAGAGCTGACGACCCAGGAGTCCTGGGGGCTGGTGGCCTTGGTCGGGCTCCCAAAACATGGACGTTCTTGAGGCAGTTGGATGTTCGAAACGAGGCACTATCGATAGATATTGATGTTCGAAACATGTTCTTTCCACTTTCAGGCTGACTTGTGCGAGAACCATCTCCGAGGTCTGACTTTTCTTTGAGGAAGTGAAGGAACGAGTGTGATGCTCAGAGCAACAGACTTTTTTTTACAGACGAGATGGGACCATGGAAGTGTGGTGTGTAAAGATAGGTGAAAAGTGTATTGCTGAGTTTCTGGTGTAAAGATTTGAGCTTGACAGAGGATTGTATGTATATACATAATATCATAATATCTATACTCTTGCCCTATCGATCCTATCGAGGACTCCATCAGTTCGCGGCTAGATGCTGAACTGAGCTCTGCTCCATGAAAGTTCTCACATTGTTGTTAGTATAGTGGGCCAGTGGCACAGAGTCTATCGGTTTTGATCTCGAAATGACCCGACGCTGAATCTGCCTGCAAGGTCAGGCAGCTTCATTCGCCTGTTTCACATATTATTTTAAGGTTATTTCGTTTCACCGGTTTTCGTGGACATTTGAAAATTCCAGCGTTTGCTTTCCGCCATCATTTCCACTCAATTGGTTTCTGGAAGTGGCACAGGCGCGGTCCTACTTGGAAGAACACAACATCCTGCCTTTTGTGGAGAGGGTGCTGAAGACCTTAGTGCAGGAGCTTGATTGGTGAATGAATTGGAGCCTCCTTCTGAAACCCTTTGCCTTTGACATTTTATACTGTTTCCAATTCTCTACAGTATATCACCCGTTGGCTGATTTGACCATTTGACTCTTATCATCACCATCGACTCTTAGCCATGCCAGGATCGACCTGCTGATCCTTGGGGTGAGGAACCTAACCTCATCGGGGAGAACACACACAATACATTTAATGAAACACTATATAATATATACACACACACATATAGTCATATATATAATATATATACACATGCACCACAAGAGGATTGAGTTTAGGCAAGCATGCTGCTTAGCACAGTTGTTGCTCAAGTAACATACAGTTGACGTTGGTCATGGTAAAACGAGTATAGTCCCTGCAGAGTCAGAATCAACGGAACGCCAGTACAAAGGTGATACGGATGCCTTTTAGGTGATGCGTGCTAGTGGGGAAGCGTTGACTTTGGAAGTGCAAAAAGACACTCAACGGAAAAGTTGCTTTGGAACTGCGTGAGTGAAGTGGACTCAACAGTTGGAGTGACCAGATCGGTGTCGTTCTTGACACACAGTTTCAGGTGCGATTGCTGCTCTTCTACCAGAGGCACAGCTTGTTTGAGAAGTCTTTGCAGGGGCTCGCAGGCTTTGTATCTCATGTTTCATTCAACTGATTACTAGACTGTCTAAGAAGCTCCAACTGATAGTTTCTCGGGCTCTGCAATTCAATCACCAATCTGAGGATTCTTTTGTGGGGATTTAGATGAACATTGGCTTGGACACATTTGGTCCATCCATTCCCATGGCCGCCTTCGCCCTCCCGAGTCCTGGTGGAGAATACATTGCACGACGGTGGTCCCTAGTAGCGTCCTTGCTTCTAGTAGCGATGCCCTTTGCTCCTAGTAGCATCCTTGTTCCTAGTAGTAAGGCCAGGAGCCCCTAGTAGCTTTTCCCTTTGTTCTTTTCTCGGAGTGTCTCCGGTTTCGTTTTCCAGGCAGCCTTTCCGGACTCTTTGAAGAAAGGCCGCCTCCAAGAATGCACGTCAATAGTCTGCATGAGTTGCTTGGAAAAGATCAGAAGCGCACTGCAGATCTAATGTGACACGTTGCTCATGCCCAACTCTGATGTGCAGGTCCATTGGAAAGGCTGGATGAGGATGGCTGACTTTGCTACTTCCTTGCCTGATGCATATCGTGCAAGACGCCCCACAACTGGTCTGAACACCCTTTCCCCGCTTTATGAGGAGCCAGAAGAGACTCCGATGCCTGAGTGGAATATGCTGCCATCTGTGGGAACCTGGTGACCCCTGTTTTCGAAGAGCTGAATATAAGCACACAAAGCTCATGAAGTTTAGAACCAGCCCATGGCTATCAGCTCCTTGTTGGTCTGATCCAGCCTGCCCAAGGTACATGATTCCCAAACCTGTGGTGGCTCCCAAGGCATGTTAGTGTCCACACACTTGCGCACTGGTGCTTTTGTACTTTGACTAGCAGAGAGAGCCTGAGTGCAACATCATTGCTTTTGTTTTTTTTCATTCTTTGACCAGATGCCACCACCTCTGCCCAGAGAAGAACAGGCCAGGACATTTGTTCTGTCATGAGCAGTTGTGGGGCTTGATTGTGACGACGTCTCCACAGAAGGTGTGCGCCATCTCCAAAGCAGCAGCAGAACACGACTTGTAGACCAACCGGGAGCAACTGACATAAAATCGTTTTGGTCCAAGCCCAAACACCTCATAAAACCTGCACAAGAGCAGTCTTTCTATATAAACAGATTCATGACACTTTTTGTTTGGACCGACATGCTGTTGACATTGCATTTGATATTTTTTTTGTTTTGGATTTGCGTTTCTGACCGTCAGGTGGATGATGCAGAGGCACTGAAGCAGGCCGGACCTCCTTGCAGAAGAATAGTTGAGCTTCCAAAGAAATGACTCCCGGAATCGTCTCAATTCTCAATCATCTAGAATGAATCACAAAAAGTTGGTGAGAGGTCTTCTTGCCCACAGCATTCAGTGAACAGCATAAACTGTCCATCCAATTGACACTCAAAAGTGCTTCTGACCAAGAATCTCCACAGGCAGAGGCTGAAAAAGCAGTTGCCAATCAGCTTGTGGAGGGACTTGTTACCGCCGGAGTCCTGGCACTTTCCACAAAGCGACCGTGCTACTCAGTGGGTGACGGAACTTGACGACAGACACTGTCGGCATATTAGGAATTGTTTCCTTGTTGGTGTGTCTAAGCTTTGGTTCAGTAGCTGCAAAGTTCTTTCAGGCCGGCACAGTTCCACGAGCCACTCAATCAGGAGGCAGCGTTTGTAGGTTGTTCTCTCATGTAGTGATTGGCTCTTGCACCTGTCCAGCTAGTGATCCTGTCAGGAACGTCACCCATGTCGAGTCATGCACCCATAGAGGCCGGTCACACATCTACTTTGTTGATGCGAAAGTTTCATAGAGAAGAGCCCAGAGGCGGCTATACGTTGAACAGGATTTGTGCTTTTTGCCATGAAGGTTTGCATGATGTTTATCCAATGCTTGCTTTGTTTTCCGGGTATGATCAGACTTGAGAGTCATCAGATGTTTGCCTTTAACCACCAGAGTTTGTCAGCATATCAGCCTTGTATGCAAAATGTTTTGTTTCAAAGTAGGACTTGCGCTTGTGTGGTGCTGTTGTTGAAGAACTATGACAACTCTGATGGCACCTCACAGAAAGAGCCCATAGACAGGCGTCTAATAGACAGCCCGACAATAGCTGGGCCATTAAAAGACCCGGCGGTACCTAATGATCAGCCACACATCTGTAGTGACTGTAGTCCGCATGGGCTGCTTTTTCCCCATGCGGTTTGGTTCAATTTGGCGATTGCCCCGAGGCGATGCTCAGCCCTCAAGCCAGAGCAGATGTCCAGGACTGATTGGGAGAGAGAGAGAGAGAGTGTTGAAAGGACTGCAAACTATGTATATATATATATATATGTACTTCCGTCCCCGGATATTAAGACGACCGATCGGGAATCGCTTTTTTGTATAGTGTTTGGGCTCAAAGGGTATGCATCCTTGCGGCCTTTGTCGGATTCAGTGCTCTTAGTCCGATTCCATCTGCACTTTTTGCCGCTCGAGAGACAGGTTCTGGAGGACCCTCGACGTTCTGCCGGTTCGAGCGAGGGGGTGGGCGCTCCAGAACCTTAGGATTTGGACAAGCATCCCGAGAAGCGCGGCAGCAGAGGGTGCAGCCACTCCTGAGTCGGGGAGTGCGGCCGTGAACGAGTCCAAGCCTGAGGAGAGGATTGACAAGAGCTGGGTGAGGCCGAAGGAAGAAAGAGCTCCCAGTTCGGGGACCTCGCGATTGGGCCTGGTGGAGGTAGACGCTGAGGAGGAAGGCAAGCACTCCAGCGGCTCCAAGCCAGAGAAGGAGAAAGACCGCCAGCGACCCCACCGGCGAAGATCATCGAGGAGAAGCCGAAGCAGACGCCACTCGCGTCGATCTCAGAGCAGAAGGGACAGGAGGCGTAGGAGGCCTACGTCATCCGACGCTGAAAAGAAGACTCCGAAGAAGGACGCAGAGGTTGGGAAAGAGAGAAAGGCCAAACCCAGTGTTCGACCACCTCGTACACCTTCCCGATCACCGCCAAAGCCAAAGCCCCCCAAAAGGTTGCCTGTGGCCAAGGCCAAGGAGAGACCCTCCGGAAGCTATTGGCAAGGTCCAGCTAGGGGTTGGAAGCTCGATCCATCCTACTACGGGTGAACAAAGGAGTGAAAAAGCGAGAGAGGCATTACCAGCAAGATGAGGGAGGTCGTTGACCTGGTCATCTCACCAATGCCCCCAAGAGCAAGGCCGACATCCGGCGAGCTGGAAGGGAGGAGCCTCCTATTCGGGGAGGTAGAGTGCGAAGGCGCCCTGCGGTCAGGGCAGAGGTTGAGGAGGACGATAGAGAAAGAGGACGAGAAGAACCTGAGGCAGCCAGTGATCCTAGGCTCATCGACGGGTTCGAGAAGGGAGAACAGTTGAGATGTCCTGGGGGTGTTCAGGCGAGGAGTTGCAGTGAGTGGCCGGGCTCCTGCAGGATATCCGTGTGCGAAGTCCCGCCAATATAGAAGTTTCCCTCAAGCTCTAGGGGACAGACGAGGAGAATCTATTGAAGTGGTCGACTGGCAACCCCACGGAACTGTTGAGAGTGCACTTGTGCGGGGGCGCCTGTCCGGACCGCCTCGAAGCCGACAACCTCCTCCACGGCGTCAGCATCAACAAGAGGGTGGAGGAGGACCTGCCTTGGATGAGCAACTTGGTGGAGGCAGGCGAACCTGTACGGCGGCCAGTCGAAGGCGGTCTCCTAGGCGGGGAGGCCAAGGAGAAAGGAGGAGGAGATCGCGGCAGAGAGAAAGAGAAGACCACCAGCAAGAAAAGCGATCGAGGAGACAAGAAAAAGAGGAAAAGCAGAGAAAGAGATCGGAGCCGAAGTCGTTCGAGAGAGAAGATCAGTTTGAGAGGAGGTGCAAAGAAGAAGCTCGAGGAGGTGCTGGGCGGAACAGGACTGTCTCCGGATCCTCGATTCCGCCGGAGGTTTGCAAACAAGGCCCAAAAGCGAGTCAAGAAGAGGAGAAGGTCATCGTCAAGCAGCAGCTCGAACAGCAGCAGCGGCTCCTACAGCGGGGAGTCAGCAGAAGTGTTCGCCGAGGAGCACCAGATCCGTCGGATCGCAAAGCGGGCGCCCGGCCTGCTAGCTGCTCAAGCTCTAAAGGAGATGCAGGGGGCCTTGTTAACCAGCACCGGAGGGATCTGGCAGCAAGAGGAGACGGAACTTCACCCTCTCTCGATCCAGTACTATCGTCAAGCCATGGCGCCTCGGCTTCAGGGTGCACCATCGAGAGAGGCGCTTTGCCA